TGATTTACAGCATCTGCAGTTCTTTCGGTTTTTATTTCGACAATAGTGAGTGCCTTTGCTTCCTCATGTACTTGCCATCCTATTTGTACTTTTTACATAAACCTCCTTTCTCTTGCCACCAGAACAAAACACACAAAATTACAATCATACAATAATATCAAAAAGGGAAAACAAACTGAATCTTATAACATGTCCCATACAAGTAGAATTATTACAATACGTAAAATCCCCAAATAGCAGATACGGGAATGGAAGGTTTGAGTTATAAGGAGAGGCTGGATATGTAGGGACTTTTTCCACTAAGAATAGGAGGTCGAGGGGTGACCCTATAGGCGTTTATAAAATCAGGAACGGTATAGATGAGGTGAACAGCAGCTGTCTTTTCCCTAGGGTGGGGAATTTCAAGGCTAGGGGGCATATTTTTAAGGAGAAAGATTTAAAAAAGATATGAGGGACAATTTTTTTTACACAGAGCATGGTTTATGTGCGGAATGAACATCCGGAGGAAGTGTTGGATGGGGGAACAGTTACAACATTTAAAAGACATTTGGATAAGTCCATAAGTAAGAAGTATTTGGAGGGATATGGGCCAAGCGCAAGCAGGTGGGACTAATTTAGTTCGGGATTGTGGTCGGCATGGACTGGTTGGACCGAGGGTTCTGTTTCCATGCTGTATGACTCCATGTAACCTCTTGGGAAAGGCAACCTAACACCAAGCCAGTTAGAATCATAGAATGATATGGCACAGAAGAAAGCCATTTGGTTGATCATGCCAGCACCAGTTCTCTGAGGGAGGTTTCCAATTAATACCCAGTCCTTTGACCTTTCCCTGTCCTCTCTTTCCCTTCTAAATATTTAGCCAATTCTCTTTTGAATATTATGATCGAATCTTTTTCCACTCCTTTTCAGGCAGTGCATTCTAGGTCACAAGAACTTTCTGGAAGAACTGTTTTCTTGTGTCAGCTGTTTGCCAACCATTGTAATCCTGTGCCCTGTAGTTATTAACACATTTGCCTGGAAACAGTTTTTCCTTGTTTAATTGACCAAGTGTTCCTGGCTTTGAATACCTCTGTCAAACCTCTTCTTGATGTTCTCATATCTAAGGAGACTATCCCCAACCTTTCTCTTCATAACTGAAATTATCCTCTCACTCCTGCTGCTAATCTAATAAACCTCTTCTGTACCCTAATACTTTGCTATCCTATCTAAAGTGTGGTGCCCAGGACTGATTCCAACAGAGGTATTATCAGTGTTTTATACAACTGAATTACTGGGAAATGGAAAATTCCCCTTCAACGCCAAACAGGTGATCAAAACTCAACCAATATGTTGCATTAATCCAGTTTTATATTCAAGGATATCCACCTCTTATATGAGATGCTCTCCATTCCAGTCAGCTTAAGATGCAACTCTTGTTTGAAGGAAACAATAATTTAAAATTCACTGGAGGAGCTAAAAACCTATTTCATAGGTCCATAATTGACTGGGAATAGTTAAGAACATCTAATTTCAGAGCTATATCTCCTATAAAAGGAGAATTACAAATGGACAATAAATGTTCGTTTTGCCAAAAATAATCACATCCCACGAACAAATAACAATTTAAAAAAAAAACTGTTCCCCTTTCAAAATTTATAATCCTCACTCCCAGTTTTCCCCATCCCATTTACTTTAAATAATTGCTTTACACAACCTGGTCTCCCCATCATTTTCTAAAACTCAATCAAACTATCCCTAACTCAAAGTCCCTCCAAAATATGAAGTCTACAGATGCCAGATTACCCTCCTGCACAGATTGATAATATTCTCAAAAAAATTCAATGAGATTGGTCAGAAATGACCTTCTTTACCTGACGTTGTATTTAGTATCCCTGATATGATCTCCGTCAAACAAGATATGTATTGATTTTATCCCTAATGATCTTTTTTTGATAACTCAAACGAAAACTGTCTGACAGTGAACCGGGGGTTGAAGTCCGTATTGCACAATTTTTCATTTGTATCCATTATTTTGCATCCCTTGTACTATTAGGCTCTCATCATTATCTGCACAATTTTTGTCCCTAAATGAAGAGAAAGTAAATAAAAGGATGTTAAGTGCATAAACTCCTCCCTTCCATGTATTTTATCTACAATATTGATTTTATTTCTACTTTTCGTGAATCAGTACAGGCAAATTTTCCCTGTTAAAATGTACAGCAAAATCGTGTGAATAAAACCTCATTAAAGTAAGCATGAATGAGAAATAGAATGACAGTTGGAGCGCAGTATATAGGTCTGTGGTATCAGAATGACAAGGTGCAGCAAAGTCTGACTCTGCAACCTTTTGGCCAGTTCTGAACAAATCCATTAGGTGGGGTGACCTGCTTTATAGCAAAGGATGCCAATCATCTGAGCAGGAAAGAAATATGCTGTGGTTTGCAATAACCATACACTGGCTTGGTAACCCATTGTAACTGGCCACACTCAGGGCCGCATAAACAACTCTGTGTCTCCTGGTACAATTATAGATAATTGGACTGGAAAGTCATAAAAAAAGTTAAAGGATAGATAACTGAGAAATCAGCCATCATAATGTATTTGGAATGGATATGGAGCACATATTCAACCAAACCATCAAAATATTGTTCTTGTTGATTAATTAACTCCACCTTTAACAGATGCATTGTGACAAGAATCGTAATTTAATAATCCCTTTAACAGGCAGATCAAATTATATTTATTTTCATCTTAGTGAGTCCTCCAGATTATGAAAAAGATGTTTCTGCAGCACCTCAGAATTTCTTCTCAATTATGCCTTCGCTGGTGATGGGGTAGATGTGTAATTTTATGGATATGGTGACAGGGAAGAACCGAAGGAAACTGTATCAATAAGAGTATATCAAGCACAATGCCATATGTCTGCACTACAAGATGTTTTATCCATTGATCGTTGAGCAGAGGTCAGAAACTATGCTTGTGCTATATTCAGACTTTGGTCTGCTGCTCTGCTGTACTTCCACAGGTGATCTCATAGCCATACATTGTTACGTTGATAAAATTGTTGTTCCTCATGTGTGAGTCAAGACAATAAATATCAGCAGACTTCTCAATCACAAAGAAAATTGCAGCTAAGTTTTATTAGGTTACCATTCAAAGCCCATGCACTCAAACTTCGTATTAGTAGTAACTGTATTCCTATCAGAAAGAGCCCTCTTTCTTCATTGGAACACAGGCAGACATTGTGTGCACAATGACATGCTGACATAAATCACTTAACACAGCACAGACTGAACAGTGGACCTAGAACCTTCCTGTATTACAATGTTCAGTAACACTCTGAGCTGTGCATTTTTCACTAAGACACGAGGAGAACAAGAATTTTGTTTTACTAATAAAACAGCACGTGTTCTTCAGAAGTGTTAGTAATTATATGGATACAAAAATCTTTAGTGTTAGCTACTTTAGGATGCAAGGTCTTTATTGTGAGACACTGAGTATTCTGCGCACTGTTGAAATACTTCTCATAAGTGACCAGTTGGATGAGAATTTCCTATTGTTGCTAATCTGTAAGGGATCCAAATATGAATGCTAATTCCCGTAGCTAGAAGTTTGCTTCTTTATAATTTCAAAAAATTCTGAGTACCCACTCGGTCTGTCAGCTTCCACCCATTGTTTTAAATTCATTACATAACCTGCCCAGAATCTCCACAGTGTCATCTTGAGTCAGCAAATTGTCACAGAATGCATTGTGAAATGTTTGTTGTAAAAAGGTGGAAACATTATGAACGTGATATAACAACAGTGTGGCTAACATAGAGACTGTTGCTATGATCATGGCAACTGTGCAGCTTTTCAAAGGACCTCAGACATGCTGTCTTCACAATAACATAAACCTGTTTGAACTTCAAAGAAACCTTCCCACTGGAGATGTGAATGATATAATTACAGCCATTGGATACTCACTTATTGGTAGGATACCAAAGGTAATTTCCTGTTTTGTGAATATATTTCCTTGCAGCATTATACCCAGAGCTCAGTGTGTATTAATGTACTTGGGTTAGATATGGATCTTTCATATTCTGAATGAAGAAAGGAAGTAAGATATTTCTAGAGAGTTTTTTTTAAACTAACCCAGTAGAATGTTGGTCAGTTGCAGTTTTAGCACCTGAAAATCATTTTTACAACATGATCAGCAACTAAATATCAATCATGTCCAGGTTATGATGAGACAATATCAAATATATGCTGTGCCTATATTTTCAATTTTAACAAACAACATTGTGGATTTTTACTGAATACTTTTGAAGGTAGATAAATTGCCTGAAATGAAGAGCTTACTTCATGAGTACAAAAGATCAGCAATTCATGAGAAATAGGCTATCAAATTACTGCTGACATGAACTGTTACTTTTACTTGTAATAATGTCAATGGTCCTGTTCCTTAAAAACTGTATTAACAAAAATAAATGATAAATTAGTTTTATTGAATTCAATTTAGAGTTGCCAGAATCCCAAAAATGTTATTTTTCATATATTAGCAAAAATATAGTTATTTGTGAACTAATTGTAGTTGTAGGTAGAAGATGATAAGTTAAATATTTGGATTATACTGAAGATCATACTACTTCTCTAATGAAGGGTCACTGGATTCAAAATTCTGTTTCTCTTCACAGATTCTGCCAGACCTGTTGAGTTTCTCCATTATTTTCTGTCTTTATTTCAGATTTCCAGCATCTGCTATTCTTTGTTTTACATTAAGACGCTATTTTGTTTTTTTTCTTATAATTGAGGCCTGATGGAAATAAATCAAAATGTTTGGATTTACTTATAGTACCAAATAACAAATTTTGAGAATATAACCTTCTGGTAATATTAATGCTGAAATGGGAAACTAAAACACAAAGGTAATGTTCTTGTTTACATTGCTCGCTCTTCTACATAGATCATTTCAATATTTATTTGTTGCGGCGTTTGTCTCCTGTCTACTCTACTGATTTGTTGAGGCCCGTTGTTTATTCCTAGTCTTTTCTCTTAATTATTCTGCATGTGTGGTGGAATTATTCCAGGATAATTAACTGCATGACCTAGAAGAAAAGAATGCTAAAATCTAATGTTTTATACAAAAACAAATAATTATTTGTGATTAATGAAATGAATGTTCTTGCTTGCAATTAAATGCACTGACCTTGAAAATTGATTAATTTAGCATTGAACTTATCAAATAACTTCACAAAGCAGGACGCATTCTGGAAATGATGGGGACTTGAAGCAAATCAGTATGAGTAGAGAAACAGTGCTGAAGAAATTGATGATTTGAAGGCTTTAAAAGCCCGAGGGTCTGATAATCTACGTCCCAGAGCACTTAAGGGAATGGCCTCAGAAATAGTGGGTGCATTGGTAATCAACTTTCAAGATTCTTTAGGCACTGGAACAGTTCCTACAGATTGGAGCATAGCTAATGTAACCCCACTATTTAAAAAGAAAGGTAGAGAGAAAACAGGAAATTATAGACCAGTGAGTCTGATGTCAGTAGTGCGGAAGATGCTAGAATCTGTTGTCAAGTATTTTATAGCAGAGCACTTAGAAAACAGTAGTAGAATCAGACACAATCAGCATGGATTTACAAAAGGGAAATCATGCTTGACAAATCTACTGGAATTCTTCAAGGGGTTTATTTGGATTTTCAGAAGGTTTTCAACAAAGTCCCACGTAAGAGATTAATGCTTAAAATTAAAGTGCATGGGATTGGGAGTAATGTATTGCGATGAGCAGAAAATTGGTTATCCGACAGGAAACAAAGCATGTGGATAAATGGGCATTTTTCTAAATGGCAGGCAGTGAATAGTAGGAAACTGCAGGGATCAGTATCAGGACTCCATTTATTTATAATATATGTTAATGATCTAGATGAGAGAACTAAATGTAATATCACAAAATTTGGAGATGGCATAAAGCTAGGTGGAAGGGTGAGCTATGAGGAGGATGTAGAGATGTTGCAGGGTGCTTTGGACAAGCTGAGTGATTGGGCAAATGCATGGCAGATGCAGTATTATATGGATAAATGGGAGTTTATTGATTTTGATAGCAAAGATAGGAAGGCAGATTATTATAGTTTATATTATCATAGTTTAAGCTACAAACTGAGAGGGAGAATGTTTAATGAGCAAGAAAAAAGAAAGAATTGCGGATGCTGGAAATTAGAAACAAAAACAGAAATTGCTGGAACAACTCAGGACAGAACAGTTCTGAAGAAAGGTCACTGAACCCAAAACATTACCTCTGATTTCTCTCCACAGATGCAGCCAGACCTGTTGAGTTTTTCCAACAATATGTAATGCGATCTGGGTGCCAATGTGCATCACTCTTTGAAAATAAGCATGCAGGTGTAGCAGGTAATAAAGAAAGCAAACTGTATGTTGGCCTTCATAGTGAGAGGATTCGAGTTCAGGAACAAGGATGTCTTACTGCAATTAAACAGGGCATTGGTGAGGTCACACCTGGAAAATTGCTTGCAGTTTTCATTTCCTTATCTGACAAAGGATGTTCTTGCTATAGAGATTAGGGTTAAGTTTACCAAATTGATTCCTGGGCCGTCAGGACTGACATATGAGGAGAGATTGAGTTGTTCAGGATTCTATGGTTTAGAAGAATGAGATGGGAATATAATAGAAACCTATAAAATTCTAACAGAACCAGACAGGTTAGATGCAGGAAGGATATGCTCGATAGGTGGGGGGTCCAGAACCAAAGGTCATAGTTTAAGCATTTAAACCATTTAGGACTGAGATGAAAAATTTCCTCATCCAAAGAGTGGTGAGCCTGTGGAATTCATTACCTCAGAAAGTGCTTGAGGCCAAAACAAGAGGGAGGTAGATATAGTTCTCTGCTTTTATGTTTCTATGTTTAAACCACCTTGATTTGCCTAGTGAGAATTGTGGATAAATATTGTCCTCATGTAGTTCCATCATTACACTACGAGATTCATGACTGAAATAAGCGTCCTACTCCTGGACAAAGATGCAACATGGGTCAGCTAAGGTAGCACAATATTCCGTAATCAGCAGCACAGTAAATAAGTAAGGAATCTTCATAGTCACCAAATGGAAGAGCGGAAAGGGATATAATGAAAAAAAATTGCTGGAGTTATATTTCACTTAAAACTTTACTTAAAAAGTTTGTTGAGGCCATTTTTTCATGTCTTTGTTACAGCCTTGTAAATGAAGTCCGTGAACTTGATAACACCATTCAGACCTTGCAGCAGAGGCTTAAGGATGCTGAAGACACTCTACAAATGCTGGTACATAAAAAATCATCCCTGGAGTATGACCTCTCCGTAAAAGCAAACACACTCTTTATTGACCAAGAAAAATGTATGGGAATGCGTAAAAGTTTCCCAAGTACTCCAAGACTGGTTGGATACACATGAATAAAGAAAAAAGACATTGTCTTTTAGGTTACAATGACAGATTTACCTGACATTATCAATGGTACAGTTGCTGAAAAAATAGATTACTTTCTGGTGATGGAGTGCTGTTTGAAAATCTTTACTGAGTATAGAAGACGTGTAATTCACAAATGCTACAAGCACCAGTGAGTTAAGATCCTTTGACAAATTAAAGACTATCTGAAACTCAACATCATCACTGAGGTGTTTTATTTACTTTATGGGTGCTCTGTTCCTATTGAACAATCTTGTAAATAAGTCTTGGTACACTGCATGGTACTGATATTTTATAGATTATATGATGCAACATATTATGGCTGGTGATTTTCACATGTGGTAGATGGGCCATCAGTTTAGAATACGCATTTCAAAAAGGTGATGGATATTTGCTGAAAAGCAGAAACTTGCAGATTGATGATAAAGTAGGACGAAGACTAATGTTTTATTCTTTCAAAAAGTCAGCGCAAAGTTGATGAATCAAATAGCCTCCTGTGCTGTGTGATTCTTTATTTTCATGCAATCTCTTCTTTTAGTGCAGCAATAGGTGATCTTGTGAAAACTGATTTTTGTTTGTCTTTGTGAATTGATATGAATTGTTTGCTGATGTTTATCATTAAGCAGCTTCCTCGAATTTGATCTGTACTGCATGCTATTGGGTGAGTTGAGATGAAAAGTTGTTATTAATCACCAAAGGGTTTTTTACAATAAACAATAAAAGTCTTTATTCACATCATAACACATATCTAAAACAAAAACTAACCTAAACAATGTTTTAATAGTGAAAGGAAGGGATTGTTACCTTCAGTACTGCAAGCAATTTTTTTTCTATTGAGCTAAGTTTCACAATGGTAAGGGTTAATAGTAAGAAATTTGTTTTTATGTGATTGTTTTTATGTGATCATTTATGTGATTGATATTTAATAATATTAAAAAGAAATATGAACTTTACAAACTATCCTGGGATTTAAATTTTGAACAGAATAATCAGCTCACTTGTAAATCATTCATCAGAAGGTCTCAGTAGCAGCAAGCTCTTCTGTCTCTGACTGCATGATTGAACAAAAAAGTCATGGTGTAGCATGGTTGCATTATTAGCGAGATAAGCAGTGAAAGACCGTGTGAGAAAAGTTGCCATGGGTCATGGAGGGAAACAACACTCAGCCAAAAGATGGGAAAATCCAGCACCATGTCTCAATTGTTGTAAAAACCCATTTGGCTCACAAATGTCCTTGAGGGAAGAAAATCTGCTAAATTTAATCTGTCATTGCCTGTCTGGTCTGCTTGTGATTTCAGCTCAACTGAAACGTGGTTCACTCTGAATTGCCCTCTGAAAGGGCCTGGAGAGCCAATCAGTTCAAAGGTAATGATGGATGGACAACAAATGTCGGTCTTGCTCATGACATCTTGAGAATAAAATAATATATAAATACACGGACAAACTGCTTAAAAGCTAGGTTTATTAGTTCAATTTCCTGATTTTCAGATGGTTTATTCACATGGAAAGGTAAATGTTATATATTATGTGAGACAATCGTAATCGTGCATCTCTTTTCAATTCCCTGTACCCCTAAATGTCCGTTCAAAGGTTCCACAGTTGCAGAATTCTGGTCCAATACTATCCGGGTCAGTCTTTCATCCTTTAAATACTGTAAAATTCAACTTATCTAACACTCGACTGCTTTCACCCTTTCTTATGCCAATTGTTCACTAATAACTATTTAACAGTGTATTCTGCATTCTGTTCTATTACCCTGATTTACTTAGGTAAGGTACGATTTGTCTGGTTAGCCTGCAATACAATACTTTTCACCCTATATTGGTACATGTGACAATAATAAATTAAATCATAAGCTCTGTCCTTGCCTACGTATATTGACTCACCTTGTGTTTAAAACCCATCATGGCTTTGCCACACACCATTTAGTCAACTTCACCTCCTCAACAGTACACCCCCACCACATCCCCACCATTCTTCCTTCAATTCTAGCCTCTTGTGCATGTTCCCACTTTACTCGCCTGTGCCTTCACCCATTTAGTCCCCAAGTTCTGGTGTTTGTTCCCTACAAGAACTTACACCTCACCAATTCCCTCTGGTAATTTAAGGTTTCCCAACTATTTGATCAATATTTTGATCACTCCTCTTGATTGGTCCTTCTTTAGCTGGACAATTATTTTTGTCTGATTATAATCCTGTAAACTATCTTGGATCATTCTGCCCGAAACATCAGCCTCTCTGCTCCTATGATGCTGCTTGGCCTGCTGTGTTCATCCAGCCCTGCACCTTGTTGTCTCGGATTCTCCAGCATCTGCAGTTCCTACTATCTTTGGATCATTAAAAGATGCTATATGATTTCAAATTTTTCTTGCTTCACTCCAGTAAAGCATGCATAAAAGAATGTCATTCTATGAGATGGTGTATTCCTGCATTCTTTTAATAAAAAGGAGCAGCTGAGCGGAGACAATAAGGATTGGTAACAGCAGTAAGCCATTCGGCTCCTTCAGTCTAATCCAAAATTCACGATGGGCATATAGGCCCATGTTCTGTCATTCCGAATGTAAGTGTTGAAGCATTCCAGAGTGGGAAGAGAGAATGACAGTGTTTGAAGCTTGTTCTTAACAAAACACCAGGAACATTCTAGAATATTAAAGATCATTAGCTAAAATATGCTCAAATAAAATGAGATACAGTTGTTATTACTACGGGTTGCTTGGAAAGTGATTTTTGTTTTGTGCAAGTGACATTGCTCGTAGCAGTGGAGAAAGTGTTGTCCCTTAACCTCGACTGGAAAACTACTCCATGCTGAGCCATTCACTGAACTGAACTAATTTAAATACAAGAGTGTAGGCACTGCCAATAAGTATAATTAGAGAAATGTTGACTGGAATTCTCAATCTGCAAAAGTTAAATAATATGACTCACATTGTATAAATGTCTGTTAAATAATTAGCAGCAACAAATCAGTAATGTAAGGCTCAGCAAAGAAATAAAAGTTTTGAATTACAAAGTAGAAGGTATGTTAACAACTTGTAAAAACTTTGTTCACTCATGTCTATGAACAAAGCTGCCTTTAATTGACATACGGGCATCAGTGAACAAATCAAAGGTTTGCATATGCAATGCATTATATGAATGACAACTAGTGTTTCATATTAGTTTATAGTGTTTTGTTCCTTAGTTTCATTGACCTGTAACTGTCTTCATGGAACAACATTGGTACCATAGAGTCAGTCAAAATCAAATAAGCTAAGAGACAGGACAGACAATCATCAAACGCTGAATGCAAGTTTAAAGCAATTGTAAGTACTTCAAAATCACCCTGAGAATTCACTGATCTTTCAAAACAAAAGTGATATTTTGCTTATAGTGCGAAACCTTCTGAGTTAGGGTAAAGAGGAGCCTAGAAAAATAAGCCATTACGAATGCATAACTCCTCACTCTACCAGTCTCAGTAATTGTCTCCTATTTAAAATAGTATTTTGAGCAAAATACAACCTATTATCATAGTTAAGTAATCAGTCACTTCTTAAATGGGGAACTGTAAAAAAAAACTTCAAAGGGAACTTATCAAGTTAAAATAATATTCACAGGGCTGATAATGCACTCCGGCCCCTGTCCTATTGACTGGTTTTAGAAAGTAGTGTTTCTTTATTATGTATCCAATGAGCTCCCCTCCTCTTGTATGCACTTAACCTTAATTTATACAATAAGACAGAGTTTATACAATTAACAGAATCTTCTAACATTCAAAAAATTGGGAAAATGAAGGCAGAAAGAAATTCAAATGAAATAAAGCTTTAATTAACATTTAATGCCAATTTGTGTGTCTGATTTGTGTGTAGAGAGGATTTAACTCCGTAAAATTAAAGAATTTACGAACAACTTAAAAAACAAAACCACAACTGTGCTTAAGAAAGGATATGCTTGCATTAGAGGCAGTTCAAAGCATTCAGTAAGCTAATTCCTGGGATAAAAGTGTTGACACATTTAGAATGGCTAAACAGGTTAAGGTTTTATTCTTTAGAGTTTAGAAAAATGATGGGTGATCTTATCAAGCTTGTAAAGGGGCTCGACAAGATATAATTGAGATGTTTCCACCACTGAGGGAATCTCAACAAGGGGGCCGTAGTTACAAAGTAAGGGAATACTCATTTAAAACTGAGATGTGAAAGAAGTTCCTCGCCCAGAGGGTAAATATCAGGTTGTTGAGGCTATGATGAGCTGGCATGAAAGTGGAGTTGAGGCCTGAGGCAGATCAGCCATGATTTTATTGAATGGTCAGGCAGGTCTGTGGGGCCAAATGGCCTACATCTGCTCCTATTTCTTACGCTCAGCTGGTGAATCACAGCTGCTTCATCAGTTGAAGGTCAAATTCCAACTCAAGCCACAAGCTTGAACTTGAACTTCACACAAGACCATTCTGATCACATTTATTAGGAACTCATATGAAAACTCTATGCAGAAAGGAAAGAGAGGACATGATTACTTTGTCTATTGAACTTGCCTTTAAATTTAGTAACTCTAATGTGGGTTTCCCAGGGCTTGGAAAACCTGGCAGGTAAAGGAAGGAGAGAAGGGTTGGATAGCAGTTAAATGTCTTCTCAGAGGGAATAAAAGCAGTAAAACAAAATCTCATAAAACTTAGAAATTAATGTACTGGGCATACTGGAGTATGTCACTTGCAGTTTTTACTGTTTTTTTTTCCTTTGGGTTCGCTGTATTAATTATGGGCCAAAAGAAGCAGAAGTGCTTTCCCTGTTCCTCAAATAATCGGCTTTGCTCCCATCATAGGACTCCCTCCACCTTAACTCACAATCAGATCTCCCATCAACAACCTCCATGATCATTCAGCTTTTCATTCATAATGTCTCCCTTCAGCTTTCCTGACTAGCACGCCTGTCAACCTCTCAATCTAGATGGCTGCAGTTGGAGAGAAAAATAAATAAATAAACAAAGTATTGATATTACATTTGGTAACTCCTTCACATTAATCGTGTTTTCTGATGGCCTGATAACCCCTGTAATCCTCTCCATATAGATACCCACAAATATCTGTGCCTGTCACTAGATGTGGAAGATTGACAACATTCCACTCACAATACAGTATCTTTCAATTTAAACATGTTTATTCTATCCAGAGTTAACATTAATTTTTCACTGACAGTAAATTCCTGTCAAAAGCATGGTTGTTCTCTGTTCACTTCTTCTTGGATGTTCATAGAATCCCTACAGTGTGGAAACAGGCCCTTCGGCCCAACAAGTCCACACCGACCCTTGCAGCATCCCACCCAGACCCATCCCCCTATAACCCACATCACCCCTGAACACTATGGGCAATTTAGCATGGCCAATCCACCTAGCCTGCACATCTTTGGACTGTGGGAGGAAACCCATGCAGACACAGGGAGAATGTGCAAACTCCGCACAGACAGTCGCCCGAGGCTAGAATCGAACCTGGGACCCTAGCACTGTGAGGCTGCAGTGCTAACCACTGAGCCACCGTGCCGCGTAAAGGACCATCTGCACGCAAAGGCTGGTGAAACCATATGGTAGGTTTTGTACTTGAAGATAATATCATATATAGATCGTGTTCACTGGGAACTCAGTATAGCGGCACTAAGGGGATTGGATAGCTTGGATGGCTGGTTTGCAATGCAGAGTGACGCCAATAGTTTGGGTTCAATTCCCACACTGGCTGAGGTTACCATGAAGGACTCTGCCTCAGCCTCTCCCCTCACCTGAGCTATTGTGGACCTCAGGTTAAACCATCACCTGTCATCCCTCTCTGATGAGAAAGCAGCTCTCTGGGACTATGTCGACTTTACCTTTAGTAATAGAAATCAGATATAC